GGGACAGAAAGGTCAAGGCCATTCTACAGGAAGTTTAGGAAAAGCGCCGTGGTTTCCGGACCCTGTGTGGTTAGTGACTGTCCCTGGGAATGTCCTCTGCTGTCTGGCTAGGTATCAAAGATTAAATGAGGACCACCTCAGTGGTACCACTTTCGAAGTTACCCCGCTTGCCCATCTGAGCTTCCGAGACAAGGGCAGAGTCTGCCAGCCGCAGGAAACCCCTCAGGAGAAACTCCCCAGCATGGCGCAGCCCCCACCTCTCCCTGGTAGAGACCACATTTGGGGGGGACTTTATAAAGCCCTATGCAATTCCAAGGAAGGAGGGGGAGGAGGATGCGTTTTGCGAACCCGGTTTAATCTGGGTGGGTAATGGAAGAGTGGGCATACGTGTTGGTCACTTCTGATCAGACAAGGCCGGTCTGACACAGGAGCGGCACACGGCTCACTTCTGAGGTCCCAGGAAACAACCAAGAGGGAGGAGGAATGCGAACGCATCTTGCGCAAAAATAGCCTCAAAGAATAATGTCACGGCCTCTTTTTAAAGTTTTTCGGACGCCATGCACCCTGCAAAATATACCAGACCTAAGCCGTGGTTTGTTCAGCGCTTGGTAAAATAACCTCGGGGCCTCGAGACACACGGATGGAGGGAGGTGCGTCTTTGCAAGACTGCTGTCCCCAACCGGAGATCCTTTTCAATGCCTCCAGGTGGGGACTTCAGTCTCTTTCTGCGGAGCAAGTGCAGTTAACCCACCAACCCGGGGCCCGAAAGGGCCGAGTCCATTTCCCAAAGCAGCTGAAGCTACCACTCATATCTCATCCAACACAGAAAATCGGACCTCTGGCCACCCTGCTGTCCCCCCGCCCCTCCCCCGCCCCGGGACGCGTCACACCATTTCCAGTTGATTACACCTTGATTAGAGTCGGGAAAGAAGCAAGCCAGGTGTATAGGGTTCCCACTGTCCTCCACCCCCCCCCACCGTGGCTCCCGGCCAGGGTCAGGCTGCGAGGGCTCTGCAGGAACACGGAACAATCAAGCCCTGTTTACCACGGACGTTTCGTTTTCTTTTCTCAAAATCAAAACAGAGTTTAGCAGGCAGCGTATTTCATACACGTCTCTTGATCAATGGAATGACCTGTCAGAAGCCATTAAAGGCCCCATTAGCTTGAATGCATTCAAAGCTAAACCATTGGATCATTTAAGGGCCGCAGCGATTGTTTTTAATATACTGTACATTGATTTCTCCCCGCGAGCAGCAACATAAGTTTGAAACTAACTGTGTATGACTGAGGCTTCATGTGCTGTCGTCTCCGGCCCTCTGTGAGAAGCAGAAACGTCTGTGTATCGTTTTTAAAGAGATGCAGACCCCGCTGGTTTTCCCAAGGCTTAGACTGGATCGCACTGCTGTGTTTTCCCCCCGAGCTTCCTCCCATTTCTTCGTTGCCCATTAAGTGAGCGGCGTGTGCAAAACGGGAGAGGCATCCCAGCCGAGGACCCCAAGTGAAAGGCAGCGGGGAAATTTTTCTGAAGGCACGAAGCCCCAGCGGAGGCCCAAACTGAAGTGAATTTGACAGCCTCGGGCCAGCCAAACTGTGCCCAGTGCGAAGCAAAAGAAATGCGGTTATGTTAGGAGCATCCTTGGTGAAGGTGGAAGAGGCAGGTGAGAAATTATCGCCAACTCTTGGTACTGCTGACCCTCTGCGCCTTAGCCAAAATGGTTTCTCCTAACGAACATTCGTTGATCGCTTCCTAAATACCAGACTCTGTCCTTGGCACGCAAGGTCCCTGTCCTCAAAGTCCTGTTCTTCACCAGAATTTCTGGCCTCCGCCCCTTTGCTCATTTTAATAGAAAACCGGAGA